CCCCCCCCGTGCCCCCTCCCCCCCCCCCCCACGATCCCATAGCGACCCCATCTTTGCCCCATGCTCCCTAACGCCAGGAGAGCCCCAGCCAGGTGCCTTCCACATAGACCATCCCCCACAGCGGCTCTCCACATTACACCAGCCGCGTCTTGCCTTACAACTCCCAACGAGCCCCCTTTTCCACAGCAAGCCCTGCCCCACTGACCCCCTCTTCCCACAGAGAAGCTCTGAGACCCACCTCAAAGCTAGCCCGCTTCTCAGCCAGCCCTGCATCCACACGCAGGGGCCCGTGTGTCCCTTCCTCCTTGTGTTGGCCTCCAGAGTCAGTCTGTACAAAGGCCCCCATTGTGTCACACAAAGCTGATTCCTGCTTCACCATAGTGACTCTCCCCCTCCAGGGGTGAAAGTAACTTACATTTTTAGAGGTACTCTTTTATTGCCCCCCGGGGGGGGGGAGATCAGGGCAGGGGTGCAATATGACAGTATCCTTTAGAGAGGTGAGGGGGTATGAGGCCCACCCCATTCCTATCGACACTGCTCCTTGCTTGCTGTTCCTTTAAGGGAGGGGAAAGCACACAGCATGTGTCACTCACTCCTTTGCCTCCTTCTCCTCCCCAGCCAGGAGGGAGAGGAATGCAGCTGGATACTTGCTTCCTGGGAATACGTCTATACGGTAGCATTCCAAAATAACAAAGAGCACGTCTGCAGTACAAACCTTTATTTCACAATAATGTCAAGCTGAGAACTTCTTACTCCAACTCTTGTAACCCTCATTTTAGGAGGAGTAAGGGAAGTAGAAGGAAGAGTGTTATTCCTTCAACTTCCTGCTATGGAGACAGCGCCTAAAGTTGAGTTAAGCTATTTTGACTTAAACTACACAGTTGACGTAGCTGAAGTTACATAGCTTAAGTCGACATCAGCCATGCTGTATAGACATACCCTGAGAGTGAGGGAAGTAGAACAAAGCCCCTGCCCTGTCCCTAAAGGGTGCAGAAAGGGAGGGTTTTCTGGTTTCCTGCTGCTTACTATAGCAATCTAAAGGAGAGCCAGGGGAACCCAGCTGGACATGCACCCTCCAGTCCAGCAGCCCAGACAGCTTTTTCTGGAGCAAAGCACTGAGGTACACCGCCTTACTTTCACCTCTGCTCCCCACCCAGCAAACTTCCCTTGAACCCCTAAACAAAGCCCATCTCCCTCTCCACTGCTCATGGCGAGCTCTCTGATACCCTTCCAGGGCCCTCCACCAAAAAGACTGCCCTCCTTCCCAAACATGTACAATGCAAAACCCCCTTTCCTCCATTTTGAGACAAAGATGGAGACCTGGGTGAAGGGTTGGAATCTGGGGGTGTTATAGCTGGGGTAAAGGAGAGAAGAGACAACACACTTCCCACCCTGCCAGCCCCCTGCCACCAGCCCCAGCTGGGGCTGCATTCCTCACTCCAACAGCCCCACTGCCAGCTGTCCCAACCCCGCTGCTAGCTCACCACTGCACCAGCCTGGGCTGTGCTCCCAGCGACCCGCCTGGCAAGGGCTCCTGACCACCAAACCTGCTGCCGCTGTTAAGGGCTTTGCTCCTGACCCTGGCTGCCTTTGCTCCCAGATGCGCTGTTTGGTCCAACAATATCCATGTCCTACCAGACCACGGATGATACCAGACCAGAAAGCACAGGATTTCAGAGGTTCAACCTGTACAAACAACCAAAAGAGGAAGAGGAGGTGGATGAGGATTTTTATAAACAACTAACAAAATGATACAAAGCACAGGACTTGGTGGTGATGGTGGACTTTAACTACGTAGACATCTATTGGGAAAATAACACAGGAGAGCATAGATTATCCAACCAAATTCTTGGACTGTATTGGAGACAATTATTATTACACAAAGCGGAGAAAGCCACAAAGGGAGACGTTCTAGATTTGATTTTCACAAATAATGAAGTATTTATAGAGAATTTTAAAGTGGAAGGCAACTTGGGTGAAAGCAATCATGAAATGATAGCATTCATGATTATAAGGAATGATAAAAGGGAAAACATCACCATAAAGAAAATGGATTTCAAGAAAGCAGACTTATAGCAAAATCAGGGATTGGTAGGTAAGATCCATTGGGAAGCAAGTTTAACAGGGGAAAAAAGTTGAAGTCAGTTGGTAGTTTTTCAAAGAGATATTGTTAGGGGCACACGAACAAATTATAGGAAAGATAGGAAGTACAGAAAGAGACTGTCTTGGCTTAACCAGAAGATATTCAGTTAACTGAAACTCAATAAAAGAATCCCACAAACGGTGAAAACTAGGTCATAGAATCAAAGAATCATAGGGTTGGAAGAGACCTCAGGAGGTCATCAAGTCCAAACCCAAATAGACTCTACACCACCAGAAATAAAACCCGTTTCCATCTTTTGTGACTTTCAGTTAGATGTGACTCACTATCCTCTGCTTAGTGTTCAAGTTATGGTAGACCCTAAGCCAGGTCATCTTAAGTTCAGGTCTTTAATCTTTTAATCATACAATATGGATAACAACATTTCATTCTCCCAGCTCCAAGTCTTCAGTGAATTTCAACCCAAAAGAGCCAGAATTGATCACCTTGACACAGGTGGACTGTGTCTACACTGGCAAGTTTTTCCGGAAAATCAGCCGCTTAGCTGGCAAGTTTTTCCAGAAGTCTACACTGGCTGCTTGATTTTCTGGAAAAGCAATGACGATCTACTGTAAGAAATCAGCCGCTTTTCCAGAAAAGCTTTGCCGCTCCCGTTCGGGCAAAAGTCCTTTTTCCGGAAAACTGTTCCGGAAAAGGGCCAGTGTAGACAGCTAGCTACCGCTTTTCCGAAAAAGCAGAAGAAACGGAAAAAAGCGGTTTGGACGCCTGGAGACCCCGTAGGAGCCCTGGACTTCCTGGTAACCCGAGCTCTTAAAGCAGTCGCAGGCTGCTGAGCGCACGTGGCAGAAGCGTGCCTGAGCTGCCACAGCGCCCCTGCCCTGCCCAGCCAAGCCTCACAAGCCAGCCATGGCAGCTCCTGGTGGTGAGCCCCCTGCACTCCCAGCTCAGGAGGCCCCCAGGGGCCGCAAAAGGCGGGCTCCCTCTGGACCCCCAGGGAGCTGGAGATCCTCCTGGACCTCTGGCAGGAGGAGGATGGTCTCCATGACATCCGGTCCTAGCGCCGGAATGTCGACATCTTTGTCCGGATGGCCGAGGCTCTGACCCAACAGGGATACCCTGCCCGGAACAGCGAGCGAATCCAGGCAAAGGTTAAGGAGCTCCAGCTGGGGTACGTGCGGGCCAGCAAGGGCAGGGGGGCAGGACCAGACACCTGCCCCCATTACGACTGGCTGCATGCCATCCTCGGGCAGCCAGCCCCGCAACCCCCGGAGGTGCCCGTGGACAGCTGCCAGCGCCCCCCCATCATCCGACCCAGCGAGGCGGAGGAGGGAGAGGACTGCGGCGGTGTGTCAGGAGAGGAGGCCAGTATTACCCCACCCCCCAAGGCCCCCTCCAGCAGCTCCTCCGAGGCCAGGGAAGAATCCACTGGTGAGTCTTTGCAGTTTGCACTACAAGGGCGGGGGGGCAGCCACCACCCAGCAGGCCCCCTCCAGCAGCTCCTCCGAGGCCAGGGAAGAATCCACTGGTGAGTCTTTGCATTGCA